AAACGATGGAAATTTCTTACACAACCTTATAACAGAAGACATTGTATGAAATAACAGTATAACAGAAGAAAAATTAACTTCGATTAAGAAAACATATGGCTTTAGTGGATATTATATGTATGTCTTTGAACATAATCTAGAAACACTACAATGACAATTGATACGTATATGTTTCTATATTAGACGAAATGTCAGTAATTAAATTAAAAGAAAGCTTCTAAGAAAGGAAGATATCTAGATGAACAAGCCAAACGCATAGTCATATATGGATCACAAATCAGAGAGAGAGAGATACAGTTGGACATATGGATCTTGATGAGCTTGCAATCTTCAAGAGTGAGACCTCTCTCCCTATCAAGCTGATGAACGACATTCAGATCTTCAGAATCCAGAAGCTGCTTGCTGGAATTTGAAAACAGTGGAAAATTTTACAAAATAAAATTATTTAAGAAAAAGATAATAGAAATGAAATGTTACATATGAAAAGAGATATGAACAAATCGCACTAGTGAGAAGAGGTCCAGAAATTGGCGGCCATGATTGGGTTGATGAAGTTTCAGAAGAAGAAACCAATCGGTGAGCACTTGCGGTAAAGGCAATTGGCCAATCTCACTCAATTGGAGAGCATAAAAAGGACAAGATCGCTTAAGAAGAGCAGGGTATCCAGGGGTGTTGCTAGTACAGAAGTTCGGGAAAGCCAGGTAATGCAGTTATGAACTAAAAACAATGTGTAAAAAATGTAATTAGTATACAGTTCAAACATAATGAAAAATCCATTAGAATTCATAAAAATATTTTTAAGCAGTACATTCAAGAAGCCACAAGATGAGGTGGTAAAGATGATGAATCAAGATGCATAAGAAAAACGCATTCTTTACAATTATCAAATCCAAAACTAAAACACAAGAAGAATGCACATTGCTAAAAAGAAAACACGACAAACAATGTGTGTTGTGTGTTGTTGGAGAGTATTCCAACCAATTGAATTCAAGAATAAGTGGATGGAATCATGGAATACGGCGTAACTTAAAAATCTTCCCATTTCAAAAGCAGGTAGATTAAGAATAGTGAAAGAGGATATGAATTATTGAGGGTATGATAGGAAGATAGTAGAATAATGTGATTGAATGTAGGATAAATCCAAAAAAAGTGGTTGTAACAGTGTATTATTTTCAAAATTATTGAGGGTATGATGGGAAGATTAAGAAATGGGAAGATTTTTTTGTTACAGACGAAAAGGGAAAGTGGGAAGATTTTTTTGTTACGGAGGGAGTAAGAGATGAGTTTCTATTGACTTAATTTCAGGTTGAGTTTCTGTCCAAGCATCAAATCAGATTGCCATATTTCATCACTTTTCCCTTACGGTCAATGACTTAGAAGCTGTTCTCTTCGTCTTATTCTTATTACTTATTGCTTATTCTTATTTTATTCAGATCAGATCAGAAAAATTCAAATCAGATCAGACCAGATCAGAAACATTCAAATCAGATCAAAAACATTCAGATCAGAAAAGTTCAAACATGATTTATCACTTTTATTATAGTTATAATTATAATTATAGTTATAATTATAATTATTATTATTAATATTACTATTATTGTTGTTGTTGTTGTTGTAATTATTATTATCATGCGGAGTAATAATAATTATAGAAACAATTATAATCATTACTTATATTTATTATTATAATTATAGAAATAAATATAATAATTATACTTACAATTATAATTATATAAGTAATTATGATTATATAACTAAAAATATAATTACAATTATAATTATATCTATAGTTATAATTAGTGTAATAGGTATAATTATAATATTTTTGAATTTAAGTTTAATTATTATACTTTTTCTATTTGTGATTATATTTATAATTTTATTTAAATTATATTTGTAATTAAAATTATATTTATAATAATTATAATTATAATTATAATTATAATTATAGAAATATTCAAATCAGATCAGATCAGAAAGATTGAGATCAGATCAGAAGGATTCAGATCAGATCAGAAACATTCAGATCAGATCAGAAAGATTCAGATCAGATTAGAAAAATTCAGATCAGATCAGAACTTAAAAAATTCAGAAACATTCAGATCAGGTGAAGAGAACAGCTTCTTAATTTTTTCCATTTTCCCAGATCACGCTCAATTTACATTGCAACAGAAACAAATTCCTTAACGGAAAAAATATTTGGAGCCAAGTAATTTAACTCTTGTCTGTCGTATGTACTTGTAGTTGGCTTAAAAAAATAATGCAATGTTGTTTTTGCCACACCTTTGACAAAATTAATGAAATAATCAACATATTACTTTCAATCACATAATTCAGATTAATAATATTTTAAGAAAATTACACTCCCTAATTTTCAGTTTCAGAGATGAAATCACACAATTAATTCACCTATTTAAAAAATGAAAATTCATGCAACAAATTCACGTTTTATAAAATCATATAAATAAAACAAAACATTCAAATATTAAATGAGTGTGATGAATGTATTAGAAACTAAAAATATTATTTTAAGTAAATTAAAATAAAAAAGTTACAGAACTTACGTATGGGCTACGGCTGGCAGACATGAGAAGTGGGAGTCTGAGAGAGAGAACGCCGACTGTCAGTGGATCACCCGATCAGGCAAGTGGCCGGAGTGGGCGTCCGGAAGAAGGAGCGAGTAGGAGGGCAGACGCTGGCATCGGGAAGCACGACACGACGCTTTCAGCCAGGCAGACGCAGGCGGAGGCGGACATATGGAAAGCGGGCGACTGGGAGGCGCGGTTACAGGTCTGCCGGGTCTGCCGATCTGCTACCTTGCGAAGTTCAGGAAGAACAAGCGAAGAAGGAGGGTGTTGGGTTGAGAAATTTGGGTTGGGCCGGATATGTTTTGAGTGGCCAACCGTACTCTGGTCCAATTTATACTGGGCCTCAAAGGCTTCCCTCCACCTAGGGTTGTAAACGAATTAAATAATTTTTGCTCGATTCGCGATTCGAATTCGTATCACACTATTCGAATTCGAAAAATTCAAATACAAATACAAATAAGAATACTAAATTTGATTCGAATTGTTATCAAATGGAGTACAAATAAGAATATCAGTGTATTCGATTCGAATATTAATCAAATATATTCGATTAATGATAGTGATATTATTATTATAATAATATTAATAATAATAGTAATAACACTATAATAACTTTTAAAAGATAGCTATACACTCAAAGGGTAGTCCATATATACATTTATGTATACAAATTTCAAGCGCATTTGTAATAAATCAGAAGTATCATACGGAGTAAGGATTGTAAATAAGGCAAATAATTTTATTTTCATTCGTGGTTTGGATTCAAAAAATATGATTTAAATTTGAAAATATAGAATATAAATACGAGTACAAATCAGATTTTTGGTTCAAGTACGAATACAAATAATTATGTATTCGATTCAAAGCATAAAATTAGAGGCGTTTGACTACGATATACGAAATATACGATTATCAACTTGTTTCACACATTATAAGTATAATTTCTAATATGTGTGTGTTAATGTTTATCGTATAATAGATCGATACATTTATAGGTTGTGCACAATATACTAAAGTCAATCAATTTTATGATTAATAAATATAAATTTATAAATGTATCGATCCATTAAATTTCAAAGAAAAATGTACTTTTTAAAAATTAAATTTTAAAAACACATATTACGTCATAGCATGCTTTTATAAGAAAATTGCTTTAAAGTGATATTTGACTAATATTTAACTTATGCTCAAATCGATTCGATATTCGTATATGATTCGTTAAATATTCGTATTGTTAAACAAATACAAATACAAATCGAAATTAATATTCGTTTCATATTTGAATTCGGATTCGTATTCGAAAAAATTAAACAAATACAAATACAAAATCTCACTATTCGACTCGATTCGGTTCATATACAACCCTACCTCCACCCCTAAGCTCTGGTTAGAGTAAAAAAGGAGACTTATATCAATTCAATTTACGAAAATTTTAACGAGCCCGTAACGGGTTCATTAGAGAGCACGCAGCTATTATACACCGCAGGAAAATAGGATAAAAAATAACAATTAAATTAAATACGCTCCGCAAGGTCTCAATTTTTTTGAGAGGTGGGATCTCAATATTCAAAACCATCCTAAGCTAAAGTAAATGTATCGTATATTATTCTTAATTTTTTAAGTCATATATCCATCTTTTATCAAATTTTAGGTTTTTGTGACTTTACAAAAAAATTAATATAGATTTTGAATATGTAAATTTTATTTACTAAAATAGTTTTATTATTAACAAATGTGACTTAGATCATATCCAATGCTACAATATGTACAGTGCATATATGTCATGAGAGATAGTCACATAAATATTAGCAAATAAATTATCTTTCTCCTTATTTGAATGATTTTATATAATTTTGGTATGTTTTTCTTTGCAATGTCAATCACAATGTCAAAATCTAGACGGTGTTCTTGACATTGCAGAGAGAAACTTACCAAATTGTATAAAGTCATTCAAATAAAGAGAGAAATGATTTATTTTCTAATATTTATGTGGCTATCTCTCATGTCACATGTGCGTCGTGCACATTGTAGCATGGGAGATACTCTTTACTTTATGATGTGTCAAACATCGTAAATGTAATGGGAACCTTTACTCGGGCCGGAGGTAGTATAAAATATTCATTCCATCTTTTTTTAAGTAATATGAGTTTTTCCGGTGCAACGCACGGGTTCATCATGTAGTTAATATTTAAAACTAAATGGAGGGAATAAAAATTTCCAAGCTTAATGAAATGTAATACGGAGTATATTTAAAGTACAAATTTGTCCTATCCCGTTTTCGATTAATTTGATGTTGGTATGAAAAAATATAGATTCAATAATATTAAGCTCCGGTTTGTTTGGGTTGGTATCATGTCTTTTCGATTTTTTGCACACTCGTAAATTTTACAAAAAAAAAAAAAAGATGACACCTGTTGGGTATATTACCCCGGCCCACTACTGTTCAGAGGCCCAAAGCCTCACCCCGATACGGAACCCAATTGGCGAGGCCCATTTGGGTTCGCCGGCCCATTTAGGCCCGTTTCGGCCCATTAGGGCCTTTTCGGCCCGTTAGACTAGAGGGTTTCCCCTCCCCCTTCTATAAATAGGAGGCCAAGCCTCCTGATTAAAGGATCTCTCTTTTTGGAGCTCTCTCCTCCCTCCCTGCTTATTTTTCCTTCTTGATAGATTAGTTCATACCTCCATTAATGGAGCTCTACCTTTATACTATGTAAATGAGTGATGGGAGGATATTAATGAGAAAGAGCGGGCTTGGACGTTAGCCTAAAAAGTCCCGTGGTTTTCTCCCTTTCCGGGTTTCCACGTAAAAATAGCTAGTTCATACACTTTTATATATTTATTCACTTTTATACCGAATCCATCGTCCTTAATATCCGAAGTTTATGTTGGGCTTCCGGATCTACGGGACAAAACCTCAACATTGGCGCCGTCTGTGGGAAAAGTTCAAAAAGATTCACGTGTACTTGCTGTTCTACTAAAAGGTGATGTGAAGAACTGATTTCCAACCAAAAAAAAAATAAAAGAAGAGATTCGACAACAAGGGAGACAAGCAACAGCGTTCCAGGGTTCATGAAGGACAAACAACCGGAGAGTCCAAAGTTCCGCGCAGAAGGCAGGCTGTGCTCCAGTCAAACGACTCCAGCAGCTTGACCATAGTTGGTTTATCTATCCCATATCTTGAAGTAAGTGTTAAGGGTGAAGCAGGAGGCCAAGGAGAATTATTGTTATGCAAAGTTACTAATGATTGAAAGAAATGATGAGTGGGCCAAAGAGAATTATTGTCATCTGACAACACAAGTGGGTGATATTCCAAATTCGTTCTTATCAACTAAACCAACGCCGCCTCCCGAACGGGAGTCCCGAACGCCCAAAGCTAAATTTATGCATTCCACTGACAACACAAGAGGCCACCGGTTCACTACCTCCTGTAGAACCGATGTATCTGGATTACCCGAACAAAAGGACCTCAGGTATGTGGTATTATTTGACTTTTCCACAGCAATATCTTTTGCCGAACGGGAAATCACGAGGGGGACAGAACAAGGGGGCATGGTGAATAATGAAGGTTCACAGAGACCGTTTCATCGCTCAAAATTGAGAACGGAGGTCGGACCTACCCGGGAAGGGGCATAACCAGCCCATAACAGCTGTCCCCTTATCTATCCATTCCCACAATTACTCAGAAGAGAACATCCGCTGTGGGGAAGGTTACCGAACGGCCACCAAAGAGAAAATTTATATCCGGCCAGTGGCTTCTATTATCAAAGATGGCAGGATGTTAGGAAGTAGCATCATTTCTCCCCGGAACGGTATTTCCTGATCAGAAGCTTGGTCTTGATCTTGAACGACCATCTGACAGCTTTTACCGAACGGGATGTCTTCAGAAAAATACTAGAACCCGAACAGGTAAGCCCTCAGCCGTGCGGTGATTTTCTCGCTCAGTTAGCCCTTATGCCTACCTGCACTATTACTGCTCAATCGAGACCTCTGACCTCCTGCCGGTCGAGACCTCCTGCCGGTCTCACGTTCAGCTGAAACCATCAACCGGACCGATCGTCGCCCAGCTCGTTTTCTGGCACTACGCCGTTCGGCACCTTCCCGTTCCGAGTCCGGACCTCATCTTTTGAGAACGATGAGTTTTTCGTGGTTCCTAAAATCTGGTAGAGTGAGGAAAGCTCGAACGACCAGATATTGTAACCTTACGGTGGGCTGGATCATGTCTGCCCCCAATGAAGTATTTGATGGGCCCAATATCTGTCCAAACGATTTTCAACTAGCCAGAAGGGCCCTCTGGTGCGATGGAGGTTATTTTATTCATTATCGGGTCAATTTATTGGCCTGACACCTGAAATTCAGCCTGATTCAGCTAAGTACCATCATTTCTATCACTTGGTGATTCCATTTCAGATAAATTGCATTGCTATTGTTACTTGCATCACTATTATTATTCGGGGCTTAAAATTGTCCCAATTAAAATAGTGTCGGGGTGAGGCTCGAATAATAAGTTCACCGTCATTTTCGGTATAAATGACCGGTGTTAGTACATCAAGTGCTACTACATGGCAATAATAGGGATTGAAATATCCCGAATAATATAATACCGAACGGGGCTCTATATATAAGATCACCAACGTCTTAATTAAATGCTTGGTTTGATTGAGCGTATCAGCTCGCCCCCGACCGGGCCAAATTAATTGGCTGAAGTGTCCTCGATGACGTATTTTACATTGAAAATAACTCATGGGCCCATTCGGCATTGGCGGTACATCCATGAAAAATATTAAATGTAGTGATGTAGTAATATTAATATTAGTTACACATCGCCATGATTTGTTTAGTAGGGATTAGAATATCCCGAGTTAAATATCATCGAGGAAAGCTCCAATGATAGATATTCGCCGTTATTTTAACTTTTAATGACAGGAATTAGGGATTAAAGTTCCCGGACAGAATAGGGCCGAGTGAAGCTCTAGTAATGAACTCGCCATCATTTTTAGTTAAATAACCGGTGTTAAGGGTGAAAAACACCCCGAACGGAATAAGGTCGTGCTCTAGCAATGAGTTCGGCTCTAATAAAACCTCACCGTCATTTTAATTAAATGATTGGTTTTACTGGGCATATCGGTCCACCCCCGATCGGCCTAAAGTAGCTAAAGCGTCTCGCAAGGGCATTGCCCGATGACGTATTTTGACTTGGAGACTACTCATGGTCTCGTTCGGCATTGAGTGCCCGAACAGCAACTGTACCCAGTACGGGGCGAAATACGTACTTGAATACCCGACAAAACACTAGGTGGTTCGAGTCGTGGAGTCTAACAGATCAAGAAATGAATCTAGGCCAAGGGTTATCATTACCGCTTCGGCCGATAGTCATGGATGAAAAATTAATAATAAAAAAGAAATGTTACACATGTGTGTATATACTTGTATATGTTGTTCGGGTCGTTCGGCCGTATTACCATGCTTACTGTGCAGTGAGATTCTTGAGATATTCTCGAACGGGATGTCATGATGCACATAGATGTTCATGACAATTCGGCATGAAGCGCGTAGACGTTCATGCCCGGCAACAAGAAAGGAATCACATTTATTCAGGGCCGTTCGAAGTTCTCGAACGGGGAGATTATGGAGCATAGGGATGTTCATGACGTTCGGCATGAAGCGCAGAGACGTTGATGAATGGGAACGAAAAGAAGGAATATTTACACTCAGAGCCGGTTGGTCAGACCGGACGGGAAGATCAGGAAACGCAAAAAAAAAAAAAGGAAAGGAAAGAGAAAAAAAAAGGGAAAGGAAAAAAAAAAGGAAAGAAAAAAAAAGAAAGGAAAGGGAAAAAAAATATATAATAAAAAAAAAAAAAAAAAAAGAGTGAGGCTACTAGTGTGTTGAAGGAATCATGGACGATTGAGAAAAGAAGGGACTACAAATGTATAGATGTCACAACACATGAAGGGAAGTCCTATGGACTGTACGATACACAAACTTTCAGATTACGCTACCTGACTGGCAATTCGGCCTCCGCCGTTCGGCACCTAGAGCAACATTATGGGCTGAGGGCGCCTGTAAGCCCCTCGGATTTACAGATCGGCCTCCCAGCGCCGAATTTTCTCTCACCACGACCGACTCTCCTGGCTCGGCATGGTGATCATTTGGAAGACCGGCCTCATCTCCGCTCCTCGCGGATGAGAACTGTTGATTATTTATTTCTGATCGGCCCCCAGCGCTGACATCTTTACATGGCCACCGACCCCCTGGTACGGTGCCATTATCATATTTGAAGACCGGCCTTGTCCCCGCACTGCGCAGATAAGGACCGTTGCTTGTTCCTTTCCGATCAGCCTCCAGTGGCGACCTCATTACATGGCCACCGACCTCTGGTACGGTGCCATTATCATATTTGAAGACCGGCCTTGTCCCCGCACTGCGCAGATAAGGACCGTTGCTTGTTCCTTTCCGATCAGCCCCCGGTGGCGACCTCATTACATGGCCACCGACCCTCTGGTACGGTGCCATTATCATATTTGAAGACCGGCCTTGTCCCCGCACTGCGCAGATAAGGACCGTTGCTTGTTCCTTTCCGATCAGCCCCCGGTGGCGACCTCATTACATGCCCACCGACCCTCTGGTACGGTGCCATTATCATATTTGAAGACCGGCCTTGTCCCCGCACTGCGCAGATAAGGACCGTTGTTTGTTCCTTTCCGATCGGCCTCCAGTGGCGACCTCATTACATGGCCACCGACCCTCTGGTACGGTGCCATTATCACATTTGAAGACCGGCCTTGTCCCCGCACTGCGCGGATAAGGACCGTTGCTTGATTTTTAGGTTGGCTTCTCATTGCCGATATCATCATATCACGATCAGCCTGTCGGCACTACGTGTTTATCATCTTTGAAAAGCGGCCTCGTCCCCGCACTGCACGGATGAGGACCATTGCTTGACTTTCAGCATGGCTACATTTTGTGGACCGCTGCCGCAGTTGCTGCCGCTGTCCTTGAGCAGAGGGCGCTCGCAAGACCCTTGGATTTATTCATGTCTTCATATCAATATATCATGATCAGCCCCACGGCACGACATTATTCGCTTGGGAGGCATCTTCACATTCCATAAAGTCTCACCTCGATCGATAGATACCACTTGTCTCGATCCATGGGGAGCCATCATCTCAGCACAAAAAAAAAAAAAAAAACGGACGGCATGAAGCGCATAGACGTTCATGACTGGAAACAAAGAACAACCAGTCGACGGTAATAAACCGGACGACATGCATCTGAAACATGGTGCTCGGGGGCGCAGCAAGCATTAAACATTGATGACTTGCGCGTTCAGGGAACAACCAGTCGACGGTAATAAACCGGACGGCATGCATCTGAAACATGGTGCTCGGGGGCGCAGCAAGCATTAAACATTGATGACTTGCGCGTTCAGGGAACAACCAGTCGACGGTAATAAACCGGACGGCATGCATCTGAAACATGGTGCTCGGGGGCGCAGCAAGCATTAAACATTGATGACTTGCGCGTTCAGGGAACAACCAGTCGACGGTAATAAACTGGACGGCATGCATCTGAAACATGGTGCTCGGGGGCGCAGCAAGCGTTAAACATTGATGACTTGCGCGTTCAGGGAACAACCAGTCGACGGTAATAAACCGGACGGCATGCATCTGAAACATGGTGCTCGGGGGCGCAGCAAGCATTAAACATTGATGACTTGCGCGTTCAGGGAACAACCAGTCGACGGTAATAAACCGGACGGCATGCATCTGAAACATGGTGCTCGGGGGCGCAGCAAGCGTTAAACATTGATGACTTGCGCGTTCAGGGAACAACCAGTCGACGGTAATAAACCGGACGGCATGCATCTGAAACATGGTGCTCGGGGGCGCAACAAGCGTTAAACATTGATGACTTGCGCGTTCAGGGAACAACCAGTCGACGGTAATAAACCGGACGGCATGCATCTGAAACATGGTGCTCGGGGGCGCAGCAAGCGTTAAACATTGATGACTTGCGCGTTCAGGGAACAACCAGTCGACGGTAATAAACCGGACGACATGCATCTGAAACATGGTGCTCAGGGGCGCAGCAAGCATTAAACATTATGTCTTGCGCGTTCAGGGAACAACCAGTCGACGGTAATAGACCGGACGACATGCATCTGAAACATGGTGCTCGGGGGCGCAGCAAGCGTTAAACATTGATGACTTGCGCGTTCAGGAAACAAAGAACAACCGACAGAAATTAACCGAACGGCTTGCACCTCAATTTTGGTGCTGACCTGTGGCAAATGAAAAACAAACTGTCGTGCCTTGCTCTCGGATTGGCTCGTCCATCCTTGCTCTGGGATGGCGACCGTCGCTCTTATGCAGCACGTACGGGCTCCACAGCACCGTCGTGCCTGGCTTTTTGGCGGGTTCGTCCATCCTTAATCTGGGATGACGACCGCCGCTTTTATACAGCACGAACGGGCTCCACAGCACCGTCGTGCCTGGCTCTCGGTTTGGCTCGTCCATCCTTAATCTGGGATGACGACCGCCGCTTTTATGCAGCACGAACGGGCTCCAAAGCACCGTCGTGTCGGACTCTCCGTCGAGCTCGTCCATCCTTGATCTAGGATGGCGACCGGCGCTTATATGCAGCATGAACGGGCTCCGCAGCACCGTCATGCCTGGCTCTTGGTTGGGCTCGTCCATCCTTAATCTAGGATGACAACCGCCGTTTTTATGCAGCATGAACGGCTGGCTCTACAGCGCCGTCGTGCCTTCTTCTCGGTCAGGTCCACCCATGCCATTCAGGTCGGGACCGCCGTCTTATGCAGCACGAGCGGCTGGCTCTTTAGCGCCGACGTGCCTAGTGCGGGATTGCACCTCACTTATGGCTTATGCATGCCTTGCGTCCAAGATTATTCCAAGACTCTGATTTAGGGAAGGCAGGGAAGGACGTGAGCAAGAGTATACTTTCTCGAGCAGATTCACAGGCTCACTACTCAAGAAACTGGGGGACTTGTGTTGGGTATATTACCCCGGCCCACTACTGTTCAGAGGCCCAAAGCCTCACCCCGATACGGAACCCAATTGGCGAGGCCCATTTGGGTTCGCCGGCCCATTTAGGCCCGTTTCGGCCCATTAGGGCCTTTTCGGCCCGTTAGACTAGAGGGTTTCCCCTCCCCCTTCTATAAATAGGAGGCCAAGCCTCCTGATTAAAGGATCTCTCTTTTTGGAGCTCTCTCCTCCCTCCCTGCTTATTTTTCCTTCTTGATAGATTAGTTCATACCTCCATTAATGGAGCTCTACCTTTATACTATGTAAATGAGTGATGGGAGGATATTAATGAGAAAGAGCGGGCTTGGACGTTAGCCTAAAAAGTCCCGTGGTTTTCTCCCTTTCCGGGTTTCCACGTAAAAATAGCTAGTTCATACACTTTTATATATTTATTCACTTTTATACCGAATCCATCGTCCTTAATATCCGAAGTTTATGTTGGGCTTCCGGATCTACGGGACAAAACCTCAACAACACCCATCACTGAGAGCCCTTCAACACCGATCGGTTAGTTAAATGGATGATCCAATTTGAACTTTAATCACAAGCTGACAGATAGCGAGTGAGGCTCTGACACAGGTATTTGCAGAGGCTTTATGCATTTTACATAATAATCTCTCATTACAGTTACCAAATTCGAACCCGATACTTACCTCTTGTGACACCTCTTGTATACCAGTTGAGCTACGCCCACCGGTCACCCCTAAGTTTTACAATTAACATATATAATAACTGAAAAGATATTATTTTCATTCTATTACACTTTGTCAACTTTAAATTAGGTGAGAAACAAAACAATAAAAAACTGAAGATTGATGTTTACGCAAAGGAAAGTAGAATGAAAAGTACTACAAAAATGAAAATCCAATTAAAGTAACTAATTTAGGGTGGATAAAAAAATTGAAAAGCATTGTACCGAACCGTATGGACCGACCCGTAATGACACCGAATCGATATTTTTTGTACAAGTCCCAGGATGTTTTCTTTTGGACTGTTTTCAGTCCCAGACCAGACCAGACCAGACTTAAACAGACCAGACCAGACCAGACCAGACTTAAACAGACCAGACCAGACCAGACCAGACTTAAACAGACCAGACCAGACCAGACCAGACTTAAACAGACCAGACCAGACTAGACCAGACTTCCGTAGTTATAAAATACACAGAGACCAGACGTTTACCAGACCAGACCAGACCAGTTCAGACCAGACCAGACCAGACTTAAACAGACCAGACCAGACCAGACTTAAACAGACCAGACCAGACCAGACCAGCAAATTTCAGTCCAAAAGAAAACATCCCAAACCGATCGAAAACGGGATGTGATGAAATTGCACTTTTAATATTTTACTTTTCATTAGGGCAGTATTAAGCAATTCATTTAAGTTTAAATTCCATCCAAAAAAGCCTCGGATACGTATAATTTAGAAAATTAATGTGGCAATACGTGTCATCTGCATTTGCTAATTGCTATATTTAGCTTGGGATGGTTTCTGAATTTTGAGGTCACGGAAGTGACGGAACTCGTTTCTTTTTTAATTTTTATCCGATTGAGTACTATGAGTACTGAGTAGCACGTAGAACTCCGTATTTTTTTGACGAGTGTGGATCGCGTGCTCCGTAGTGAGCCCGTTACGGGTTCTTTAAAATTTTATACAAACCAAACCAAGTACCCATGCGATGCACCGGGTATATCTAGAATTGAATAGTAATTTATATAAAATTATATTTTATGATTGTACATAATGTGTAATTTTGTGAAATAAAAGAAGACAATATAAATTATATGTTTAGCTTTTATTATATATGTTTTAGTAGTGGTAAGAAAATTAAAATTTGGATCGTATGACAAATTGCAAGTAAAATAAAAATAAGTGAAAAGGTATAAAAATAAGCTCTATGTGAAAATTAAATAGCTTAATAGTACAATTATTATTGTCTGCCTCAAAAAGTATTTACAATCAGATCTACTGCTCAGCAAACCTGAAGCCGGTGAGACCCTCACTCTCTATTTGGGAGTAACCAAAAGCGCAATCAACTCTGTTTTGGTACGCGAGGAAGGAACAGTGCAAAAGCCGGTCTATTACATCAGCAAAGTCCTTCATGGAGCTGAGCTCAGGTATCCGGCCTTGGAAAAGATCGCTCTTGCAGTTTACACAGCGGCCAAGAAACTGGCGCATTACTTCCAGGCTCATCCAATCAAAGTGCTCTCGGGCCTGGGAGTTGGCACATTGTTCAGGACAACTAAAACCGCTAGAATTGTGAAGTGGTCCTTGCTGATCAGTCAGTATCAAGTAAGTTTCCAACCTAGATCATCAATCAAAGGCCAGGCCTTGGCAGACTTCTTGGTTGAATGTACTGCCCGGGACTTGGCTGAAGAAAAGAGACACAAAGAAGAGGATTGGTGGACCCTGATGACTGATGGATCATCATCAGGATCCAAAGGTTGCGAAGGAGGGGTGGTCCTCATCACCCATGAAGGTTTCAAAACTTATCACGTCCTCAGATACAAGTTTAACCTATCCAATAATGAAGATGAGTACGAGGCCCTGCTATCCGGCCTCAGGATAGCGATCCACTTCAAAGCACAAAAACTGAGGATTAAAAATGACACTAAGTTGGTTATCAAACAGCTCAGAGGGGAATACGAAGCCAAAGAAGAAAGAATGCAGAAATACAAGGACGTAGCTCTGGAACTTATCAAACAGTTTGAGGAGTCAGATCTGATATGTGTTCCCCGAGCCCAAAACAACGAGGCAGACATTCTGTCAAAGCTGACCAAAGATGCGCCTGAGCACCTTATGCGCATAGCCCAGATACAAGAGCTGGATAAACCCAGCATCAAGGTCATAAAAGACCTGGAGGTCTTGCCTGTCGAACCAAGGCAAAAATCCTGGGTTGAAGAATTGATGGAATACAAGGAAGCCGGAACACTGCCTTCAGACGAGGAGAAGGCAAAGTTGATCAAGAGATGGGCTCCAAACTACGTCATTGAAAATGGAAAACTTTAAAAAAGAAGCTACAATGGCGTGCTACTCAAATGTCTGGGGCCAGAACTGGCTCAGCGAGTGATCAAGGAGTTACACGAGGGACCTGTTCATCCCATCAAGGTGCGTTTACCCTAAGTAGGAAAGCTCTTTTGCAAGGATATTTCTGGCCTACAATGATAAGGGATTGCGTGGACTTTGCACGAAGGTGTGAGGTCTGCCAGAAGTTTCAAACAAACCCCGGCAGACCTGCCACACTATATCATCCCATCAGCACTGCAATTCCCTTCTCCAGGTGGGGAATAGACCTTGTTGGGCCTTTCCCGCCAGGCTCAGGAGGACGGAAGTTCGTAATAATGGCGATTGATTACTTCACAAAGTGGATTGAGGCTGAACCAATGACCACCATCACTGCGGAACAATGCAAGAGGTTTGTCTGGAGAAATATATTTTGTCGATTTGGTGTTCCCATGCAAATTATCACTGACAATGGGAAGAAGTTTGACTCTGATCCATTCAAGGACTTTTGCGAACAATGGGGAGTTGAGGCTAGCAGGGCTTCTATTGCTTACCCCAATGCAATGGACAAGTGGAAAATGTCAACAGAACTATTGTCAACGGCCTCAAAAGAAAGTTGGAGTCAATGGGAACAACTTGGGTGAATGAACTCAACTACATACTTTGGGCGTACCATACTACCCCAAGGAAGGCTACTGGTGAAACTCCTTTCGCCTTAACTTATGGATTCGAAGCTCGAGCACCATTAGAAACACTGGTCCCAAGCAAAAGGGTGGAGGATTATGACCCTAAGGGCCTGTTTGGATGGAGTGTTTGGAAGTGTTAGTAATGGAAGTGTTAGTAAGTGTTAGTAAGAGTTCCAAAGGGAAGGGAAGTGTAAGTGTTAGACATAATTTTACCTTGTTTGGGAGAGTCAAATGAATGAAGTGTTAATAATGGAAGTGTTAATAATTTTACCTTGAGGCAAAAGAAACGAGTAAAGAGAAGAGATGAAAAAACAAACCATCAGACCCGTGGGAAAGACATTCGAAGTGAAATGTCGAAGCATTTTATGTTTTTCGGGGTAAATGAGAAGGGTACGTAATAATTGTTCAACACCTCAAAACACTCCAAATCGGGGTGTTAAAAAAATGGACAATTGAGGTGTTTGGAAGGTTATTATTAACACTTCCTAACCATTACTAACACTTCTTGACACCTCTGGATTTTTCTCCCAAACAAGTGTTAGCATCAACACTTACTAACACTTCCATTACTAACACTCCTCAACACTCAATCCAAACAGGCCGTAAGAATAACAGGGACATGCTTAGAGCAGTTAACTTGCAAAAATCATTTGACGACCTTCCCGGTTGAATATTTTGTTGAATTTGGTATGGATGAACTAGACTTGATGAGAAACATACACAAAAAATTTGACACACAACAAAAACTAATTAATATCTAACGCATAAGGATTTCACACAACTTAAACTAATATATAACACACAAGAATCAATATCTGATGCACAATACGAATACAAACCCAAGAACCAGTAAATAACATATAATACATATATACATAATCACAATAAGTATTTATCGCACAAGAATCTGTATTTTACAAACAACAACCCAAAATTTAGAACACATGAACTGACCATCTTACTATTAGCTAGGATATAACACACTACAATTACTATTTGATGCAAAATAAATGAATAGAAAAAAAAATTACAATTTAATGGAGAAGAACGTGACCAAAAGACAAATTGAATAAAAAGGAATGATATTTCCAAAAAACATGCAAAAAGTTTTATAAAAGGAAAAGTTAATTCCGTGAGTATGTTATTTGCTTTTAGAAAATGTGAAAACTTCTTCAACGATGTTTCATATTATATGGAATTTAATGTTTCAATAATTGAAAAGTCAATTATGGATAAATGCATTAACTGCCTTTAGTCGGTTACCAAAACTGCTTAGGAATAAAATACGTAAATAACCTTCACATAATTTAAGTTGAGCGCAGATCAAATCCTCTAAATCGATGGTTGTGATTGTTCTCACTTCTCACGTTAAGGCTTGTTCTCATTTGAACCTAACTCTATATATATATATATATGTAAATATATATATATATATATATATATATTATATATATGTATTATATATATGTATATATGTATATATATATATGTATATATGTATATACATATATGTATGTATATATATATGTTATATATATATATATATATATACAGAAAAGATCAGGTCCCTCCGGAGGGACAGGAGGGACCGTACGAATTTTACTGTTTGGGGCGGTTCCCGGTGGAATTTTTTGATGAAATTTTTTGAGCATGTTCCTCATCAAGTCTAGTTTGTCCATGCCAAATTTCAGCTCAAAATTCGACCGGGAAGGCAGTCAAATAAATTCTTGAAACTTACTGGCACTTTATATATGCGCAGAATGTGCAGTAAGCTTCAAGAATTTATTTGACTGTCTTCCCGGTCGAATTTTGAGCTGAAATTTGGTATGGAGGAAACTAGACTTGATGAGGAACATACTCAAAAAATTTCATCAAAAAATTCCACCGGGAACCGCCCTAAACAGTAAAGCTCGGACGGTCCCTCCCGTCCCTCCGGAGGGACCTGAGCAGTCCTCATATACCTCTATATATATATATATGTATATATATATGTATATATATATCTATATTAAACACACTATGTATGCATGTGTCCACGTGCATGCGCATGTGTGTGAAAATGATAAAAAGAAGTTCATGATATACTGTAACTCCGGGAAGATCTCAACAAGAGTAAGGGGTCGTTTACTTTTTCCTATTAACTTTTGTTTGGATTCAGACGTCTGTTTGGATTAAGTTATGTTTGTATATGAAGCTAATTATTTTGTATGCTGAATAAACCATCTGGATGAAGTAAATTAACCAATTTAATATTATTATTAAGTTATATTGACAATGAATAATATTGTTTCAATGGGATGGAGTGATTTTTCACAGCTTAATAATTAAGTTTTTTACATAATGAATAAGTTGTGTTTTCAATTAAGTCGTAAGTAAACTGCTGTAAACATGACTTAATGACTGAACGATTAAGTCATCTTTCTCTTTAAGTCATAAATAAACAGCCCCTAAAAGTACCACCCATATCAACAAGGTACATCACATCTTCTTTTAAGAAGCTCGTCCACTTAGGCATTAAGAACTCCACAGTAAAGCATGCTTGTGTGGGAGTAGTTTTAGATTTGTATTGGTTTGGGGCGCATGATTGAGGACACAATGTGCGGTAAAGGCTTGTTTTGATGTGTGAGGACTATATTAAAAAATCCAAGAGTAATGACTTTGAACTCGGCGGAGTCAATGTGTTACATATTAAAAAAATTATGCATTACAAATATAAATGTATTGTATAGCATTTTTACAAATAAAATTCATGATATGTTTTAGTAAATTTTCACACTTCTATTACATGCTTTTATAGGTTAAACATTTAAGGCTTGTAAGGCCGATGTGCAAATTGGGGGGGGGGGATAGGGCATTGTATTCAAACTTTGAAAAATATTACATGTCAACCTTTGCTCTCTAGCCAAAGATGAATATTTAGGATTATGTGAAAAGAGGATGAACATTTAGAGTTATGTGGAAAAAAAAACTTTTAATAGGATATGTTTCCCATTTTAACGAGATCTTTTTAGTCTGTTTTTCCAATCTTGGGTACATTTATAATCACCTTCCTTTATAATTTCGCTATTCATATGATAGTTTAGTTAGTTTTTGGCTTCAATTAATGGAAATTGATCCAAATAGGACTAAAACATAGCTAAAATTCCAAAACAGGACTTGAAGTTTTAAATTTCCTAAATAGGACTCAAGATTACACTTTTGCCCTTTATCCCCAAAATCACATTCCCCGATCCTCTGCCATGGATCGCTACACATTTGTG